CCCGCCGCCGCGCCCGCGCACCCCGCTCGCAACGCCAGCGCATGCACCCCGTCAGGCGAGTACAACTCGATTATACGCTCCTCTATAAACATATTGAACGATTTCTCTATATGTGAATAAGATGTCTGCATCTTGTATTATCTTTTGAAGGGAGACAGAAAACTACATTTTTTTATAATAAAGTGGGCAAACGGGAACTCCGACGTGATCAACAACGCCCATGGACATACAGAACACCAGAACTACAGATGCGTTGCCAGCCTTTGTGGAAATGGTAGGCTCGCTTCCTGATAGACCCTAAGTCGTATTGGTTTGGAAATACCACCGAGGACAGACCGTTCCACAACGTGGCTGTGCAAGGCAGAAAGTTATGCGAAAACCGCAGGGTTGTGGGATGCCAGCCATTGAAATGGTGAGGATGGTACCTGGCGGTCTGTGATACACATAAAACTTTTAACAAATGTCACTATATTGGTCGAGTTGATTCTTGTAGAAAACATAGACATTCGTTTTATGTTTTATGCCTCTAAACAAAATTTCAATGTAGGTGTATAAACGCAACTCTATACCAAAATTCTGATATCATAAAATTTTCCTATACTCAATCAGGCTGAATCTAGACAAATAAAAAAAAAACATAACATACAAGTGATATTCATGACTAAAATATTGTGACCACAAATAGCGTCATATTAAATTGCAACGGTTTGTGGGTTTCACTGTAAGTAATACAAGTGTAACAAGATATTGATCACCTGTTGACACATGGGTATTAAATTCACTATCTAATTTATTTGAAGTTTCACAATTGTAAGGTTTGATACCTTAGTACCAACTACCCAATGTCATTGAATTGAACAGAAAGCAATTGTTATGCTTTAAAAACGAAACATCTAGCTAGCTTAAAATTTTAATTTCTTGGTCTAGACTTCAAAATCACACTGTTCACAGAGATCCACATTAACAGCTGTGTTGTCTACCTTTAACTAACATAAGAGACAGGCAAAAATGGGACATTTCATATACATACGCATGTCATTCCTTTCCAAAGCCTCATTCCATCTTTTTCTTGCAAGAAAAAAGTGGAAAGGACTAAAATTAGGCCTTCAGCACACTCATCTGTCAATACTCATATTGAAATCCTAAGGGATTATAGAATGGTAATTAGTTGTTCAAGACATATAACACTTGTTGATAGAGTGTTCCCTAAACAGGAGTGAGAGAGAGGCACAAACTTCTAAGACACCATGTTGGTGGATTTCTGTCTGCTTTGGCCTAGTCACTGACGGACCTAACGGACAAAGTCCGCTACATGGTGTTTGGTTTTTCTTTATTTTTCAATTTCTTATTTTGTATTGTGTTTGTTTATTATTGTATGGTTTCGGTATTTAGTTTAAGGTATAATATTATGGGACTGACATGTTCTAAGGAACCAAAGTCCCTATAAAGATAAAAAATAAAGAGAAAAAAAACTGAATGTTAATTACCTGGATCATGGTGGCGGAGGTTTTTCGCCACACAAGCCATGAGCAACGGCACATAGCGGGTGTCCGCGCGCCGTCGCCTGGGTGACGGCGGCGAGGGCGGCGCCTCAGCCATATAGCCACGCTGCAGCTCCCAACCAACTTCGCTAATGATGGACGCCTTACGGAAATAAGGCGTCACTTCACGCAGATATTTCACTAGAAGTAATTTTGTATTGTTTTATTGATAATACCAAGGGAAAATATGAATTTGAGATTGTCAAAATGAATTTAGTCGTTTAGATTTTAATGGAACTTACAGAATAAAAATAAAATAATTAGTAACTGAAATTACTGACCCAAAAGTCAATTAGGAAAATTGTAGCATGGTTACTTTTTTAAAACTTATCTAAGTATTTGTCATAAGTAAAATTGTTCTAGTATTGTGATCACAATAACAACAGCACACATGCCAACCCTAATTACTTTGAACCTAATTAAGAGGTCATTTTAATTTGAAACAATTATATCTATGAACTCATATTCAATGAATATGTTAAACAGAGATAATATTGTCTAGGCCAGATATGTTAATGAGTATCTTATCCTACCTTCCAACTGCACCATTTTGCCTGCTCTTTTTAATGCTTTCACAGCTTCTTCATGTGTTGCATCCTTCAAGTCCTCACCATTAACAGAAAGAATAGCATCACCAACATACAATTGTTCAGTAAGATCAGCGGCCATGCCTTTAAAAATTTTCGATATCAATATAGGCATATTATTTTCTATCCCTCCCTTTATAGATATACCTAAACCATTATTGTCTGATTTTACAACTTGCACCAGGCGTTTCTGATTGGCAATAGCTTCAGGCACCTCTGTGAAGTCACTGTTTGGAGTTTCTACGTTATTGTTATTTAATGTTCCATTAAGAGTAGTGGTAGCATCGTAGCCATCGTCTAACGATACGCTCAGGTAATCATCTTCGAGAGAACAATGCACTCGGTACCAGACACCGCGCACCAACGTCTCCAGCAGTCCTGACCGGGCACACGTCGCATTGGGACTCTCGCTTCCACCGCTGGAACCACCGTTCTCCACCATAATTACAATTTAATCGTTATAATTGACTCGATAAATGTATACCAAAATTATATTCCCTTTTCGTAAAATATTATGGATAAAATTAAACATCAAGGTGCGCGTTTATATTTTAATTCAACACATTATCGTTTTTATTTCTCCAAGGTTTCGATAAGTATGACAATTCAATAATATCGTCAAATAAACACAGATTCATTGCACAATCAATATTACGACATAAATTTGACGTTTCGTCCGCCCTCCGACACCGATTTTGGAGAATGAATGACTAATTAAGTTCGAAATTCGAATTTGAATAAAATGACCGAATGATAAAACTATGTTGACAGTCTTAAATTAGCAAAAAATGGTAGTTTTAAATTCATTTATGTTTTTGCTACGTTTTAGGTGGAGTCTTGAGGATTTCAAACGTTTAAACAAAAATCTGAAGAAAACCAGAAACCGGTGCTTGTTTCAAGTAAAAGCCTTTGAGAAAAAATATTAGGCTTTTGCTTATTTATTTATAATTAAGTACAATTAGGTAAAAAAAGGTTAAAACAACGTCTTAAAAATAATTTTCCTAAGTTTCATCTAATTTCTTGGTGGAGTATAAGTTATCCATTGATTTCTCTGTGACTGCACTTGATACGATAGGCATAGACAACTTGACAAGTTTCAAAGTGACAAGTGACATGAAGCAGAAATGTAAAATATAATCAATATTCAATTTATATCATGAATAATAGTTATGTATTGAGACAATACGAAGTTTCCGAAATTTTAAACTTATAGTGAAACAATGGTTGCTTGTCGGGCATGTCTTGAAACTAATAAAGAAATGAGATCTTTGGATGAACCATTCGCTATTCAGTATAATTTACTAACTGAACTTAAGGTATATCGATATAATACTAGTTGTTTCCGTGGGGTTTTGTCTTCATAACAATATAAAAATATTTTACTGCTAGCTATCGCCTGCAGATCCGTTCGCGTGGAATTAACAAAACAAAAGTAATTAGCCTAACAAAAACAAAAGTAATCATCTCTGCCAAATTTCATTGAAATACATTCAGCAGTTTAAGCTACAAACTCTTACAAACATCTATCGTTCTAAACTTTCGCATTTATAACATTAGTAAAATTTATATTCCATTCAGTTAAAAATGTCACAATTCAAATGCTTAAATAATTTTGCCATTGGCTAATAATTACCGTTACAATAGTAATCTTGTTTCTTTGCTGCTATAGACTAAAGTTTAGTCCCTTTTATGTCTGATGGTTATATAGCATGAAAATGTATATTTATAAATGTATATATGTGTGTATGTTTTGTTATATTATTTTATGGATTATCTGAATGCTAATAATGAAATGAATTGTAATTGACTGTAACAGCACATCCTTGTTTTTGTTGTTTTTACAGATATCTGTAGGTGATAAAATGTCGCAGGATATCTGCTTTGATTGTTGGAACACAGTGAATTATTTTATGAACTTTAGAAATAGATGTATTACATCAGAATCTGTTATGAAAAATGCATTATTAAATGTGAGTGCCCTTTATTTGTTAATTGATTTATTGGAAAGGTACACCAATTGCATGTTCAAAGTTCACAACCAAATTAATATACTGTAGACAATAAAAAACAAAGAAGCAGAAGAACATACAGAAGACAGGAGTACAAAGCGCTCACAAGACATTTATGTTATATTTTGTATTTCGTAATAGTGTTATTCTTATGTCCTCAAATATCATCTGAAAACCTAGTTATTTTATTTATCAACTTGCTCTTGTCCCTATGATGGGTCGGTACATTATATGCTACTCTTCCATACATTTATATCAGCCATATTATTACAATATTATTAATTATTTTCTTACAGATTGTCAAAGATGATCCTGATGATACCATAAACTCTAAAATCTTTTTAAATACTGAAGTTAAGGTTGAAGCAATAGATTCTGAAGTCTCCGACAATATTCATGATGATGATAATGTTGAAACTAAAATAACACTTGATATAGCTTCGTTAGCTACAACAAATGTGTCCAAAGGTATGTTTATAAAACAATCTATGCTAATATTATAAAGAGGAAATATTTGTAGGTTTGTATTTTTAGACAACTTATTTAATTGATACTGTCACTTTAAACTCAGAGCAACACTTCTCGTCAGGGCTCAGGATGCGCGCCAATATCCAACCTTCTAGTGACATTGACAGCTGTCAGCTAGGGATGTGACGTTTATGCCAATAATCTAGAGTTGCGCCTATTCTACAGCACGGTACTAATTTTGTTCTTAACAGTATGTACATAACAGTACATTAAAATAACTTAAAAACTAGTAGGCAGATGTCACCATTTAATCACCAAAAGCTATGTTAATCATGCTAATGTAGTTGTGAGCAATATTAAATAAAGTTCTCTATGTATTGTTTTTTGTAATGATTAAATGTATATAATTTTAGATGTAGTAAATGAATCAATGAGAATCTTAAGGAAAAGAAAAATGAAAGAACCAGTTGTAATTGAAAATGCGGTCAAACGGAAGAGGTATATTAAAAAGAAAAATGTGAAAATGAAGAGACCTCTTAGAAACAAAGTTATGAAAAGAACTAAAAACGTTAATCCAAAGATACAACAAAAATTAAAAATTAAAGAAACTGCAGCAGTAAAATTAAAACAACAATTAAAAATTAAAGGGACTGCAGTGAAGTTAAAACAAAATTTAAAAATCGAAGAAGCTGCAGTAATGAAGACAAAACAACATTGTGGTAAACATTTTAAGATTTTTTTTTCTTTATATACCTACACTGCAGACTACCAACATAATAAATTTTCAGGTATTTGTATAGAATCATTTGATGATAAAAAGGAATTATTTTTTCACTTAGAAGGCCATAAAAACGATACAATGTGTAAATTATGTGACGAACAATTTGAGGAATGGCCGGAAATGCTAGGTCATAGACTAAAACACACACCAGAAAAAAAAACAAGTTGCCATTTGTGTGATAAATATTGTATGAGACCCACTTATATGGAACATCATTATAGGAACACACATTACGATGGAAGTGTATGTATTATCTAAACTTAAAATAACCAAATTTCAAATTGCTATTAAAATTATTAATCTTAAGTTACGTTTGTGTTGGTTAGTTAACATTTTATCTCTAACATCGTTTTTTTTAACTTATTTATTAGTAAAATACCTTTATAACTAGTTTAACTAACTAGAAGTTGCAGTAGAATATTTCTAGATATAATAGTTTCTTGTTATAATCTTTTAGTCTTTTTTATTATGTTTTTTTTAGGTACATTTAAAATGTAACCAGTGCGAGCGGAGTTTTGGGACACCGCAAAATTTACGTAAACATAAATGGAGTGTACATTCTAAAAAACAATTCACCTGTGACAATTGTGGGGAATCGTAAGTAAAAGGCCTTCCAGTTTAAATATTCCGCTACAGCGCTTTACAACTGGAAAGTAAACCCGAACAATTCATTCCAATGTTTAATTTTTTTAGCTGTAATCTAGTGCTGGTTTCAATCGTTGGACTGGAATAATGTAAATCTGCTCTTTAATTTTTAAATACGATAACACTTCAAACTTTTTTTACATTTTCTTCTGGATGTTTTAAAAATATTTGATCGCTTTTATTTCAGATTCAACACAAAATCGAAAATTAGAATACACGTGTTAAAACATAGTAATCACAAATCGCTTGTTTGTAAATTATGTGATTATTCAACCAAATATATTAGCTGTCTAAGGGTAATTAAATCCTATTAAATTACTACTAATGAAATTTGGCATAGATGTGGAGTTGTTGACGATAGTTTGGAAGAACATAGGCTATTTACTGTCACTTTTTTTAAACGTGGATGGAGTCACTGGCAAAAGCTAGTTTTTTTTTATAAGATGAATATAATTTGTGCAAAGTAACTTATTAATAACTAGTTATTTCAGTTTCATAGGAATGACATCAGTAAAACCTTTTTTTACATTCCGTAAAACTGACAATTATAAATATCAAAATTTAAATGCCAACGATGGCTCTTGCTATTGGCTGAGAATTTAAGTAACCATGGCAACCTTGGTTCTTTGCTGCTATTGGCTTGTAGTTACTACTCACTAAGTTTAATAGCTTGAATATATATAGTCCAAAGTGTGTAGAAAGTGTAAGAATTTTTATTAAAAAAAATATTCAATAATATGCTATGATTGCTGACATCCTACACAAGGAGGATTTGTGTGTTTATGTTTTATTGGTATAGCTTAAACTGACTCCTATATTAAGCATTTAAACTTTTTTAAACCCTTAATTAAATAGCATCCTATGTGGCGAAGAAGTAATAAAAAAAAACCTATTTCATTCATACAGTAGAACCTCGATAACTCAAACCCTAGTAACTTAAAAACCTACATAACTTCAAAAAATAATATGTTCCCTTCCTATCAGAGCCCAAAACCTCTACAACATAGACCCTTGATAACTTAAAACCTCTATAACTTAAAATATTTTGTGTTTTCCTTAGACTCTAACTTATCGAAGTTCTACTGAAATACATATCCAAAAAGAAGACTATATTTTTTTTTGCTCACAAAAAACTCCGTCGAATTAAGGGTTAAACTAAATATATTGTTTTTTAATTCCCCAGAGTCATATTATAGGCAAACATACAGAATCAAAGGTGTATTGCAACGACTGCGGCGTTCTGTTTCCATGTCAAGAAAAACTCGACCAACATCATTGTAAACAAAATTCCAAAGTGTGTCCGATATGCGGGATGAAAATGCTTAAATCAATAAGGGTAAGTATTTTGAATAAAACCTACAGTATAATGACCGTAATGCAAAGGGATAGGTAGAGACTATGTTCCTTCGTATCTACGTGTGTATCGATTTTTTTTAATTTTTCAATTATCTATACTAATGTTATGAAGAAGAAATATTTGTATTTTTGTATGTATTGAAACAACTCAAGAACTAAGCCGATTTAGAACCGAAGCCCTTTCACCATAACAAAGTTAATTTTTCTGTGAGTAGGCTTAAGCATAGGCTTTTTTAATTTCACGCCGACAAAGTCGCGAGCAACAGTTACTCAATAAAATTAAAAAAAAACAATGATTTTAAAGTAGATTTGGTTATTATAGATAATGTAGTATTCAATTATCGCTATCAATGATTGAAAAGTATAAAATGTATTGAACAGACAATAATTTTCTTTTTTATTACCATACATTTTGACACATGTTATCCATTCTACAAGCGACATCGCTCATAGTCCCTTGTCTATGGGGCAGAGAACTTTTCACCTTGTTCTAGACTAGCTGCTGCGACTTCGTCCACGTGTAATTTAAAAATATAACCTACTAGCTTTCTCCCGCGACTCCGTCCGCGTGGAGTAAAAAAACAAAAGTAGCCTATGTGTTGTTTCTAACTATCTGTCACATTTTATAGAGATCTGTTCAGCAGTTGATGCTACAATGATGAACAAACATCCATCCATCTAAACTTTCGCGTTTATAATATTAGTAATATATTAGTCAGCGATAACGAATTTTTGAAATCGGCCAAGTAATTTTTGAGTTAGTTCAATACAAAAGTCAAAAAATACAAATTTTTCCTCTTTATGTTAGATAAAAAATGACTAATAGACGCTAATAACCTCAGTTGTCTCGTCATTTGAAAACACATCGCGACGAGAAGCCGTTCAAATGCGATAGTTGTGACGCCTCGTACAAGAGTAAGGTGGCGCTGCAAATCCACCGCGACAAGCACGCGGGCAACCGCACCAAGCACTGCGAGTACTGCCCCGCCAAGTTCTACAACGGCTCCTCCTTGATCCGGCATCGCCGTTTGCACACAGGTATACTTTATATCATAAGGTAAACGAGCAGCCACCTGAATTCGCCGAGAAAGCGAAGCGATCGCTGTCCATACGTTGCCTACCAATCAACGGAGAAGGTCCTCCCTTCCCCTTCCTATGCCTTTTCACCGTCAAATCTACTTTTCTTTTCCATCCTTCTTGTATAAGAAAATGTTGGGAAGGGAAACGGACTAAAATTAGTCCGTTTGTCAACTCGATTCTCAACCTATACTATAAAATGAACTTAATTAAAAATGAAACTTTACATTTCGTTTTTTTTTTACAGGTGAACGACCACACGTTTGTAAAAATTGCGGTAAAGGTTTTACAACATTATTTAACCTCAAATTACACATGCAGATACACGGCGAATTCTTGATAAACAAAAAGGTCAAGCCCGAAGATTAACAACTATTTTAATTTAAATAAATGAAACAATAAAATATTTCGAAACATTTCATTATAAATAAATTACCATAGAAATACAGATTATACCTAAGTAAAAAAAAAGTAAATGTATCACATACAAAAGAGTCTTTGGCAAGTACAAAATGTACTATAATTTTTTTTTAATTTACAAAAGTATATAAAGTCGAGGGTAGAAACATTAACGAAACAATTTCATCAAAATATTTAAAAAAATTGTACACTAAGAAATGTCCCCAATACTGGCAAGATAAGATGTAGACAAAAAGGTTACAATTATTTCTAAATAACATCAAATTACATTTCTTATATCAAATTATTTTAATAGCACGACTATTACTTTCAAATAGTTTAAGCATTTTTTCACAATAGAAAAATATGCTTTTAGTAATGTCATGACAATATTATATCTGTTTTTTTTTTATTTTCACTTAGACGAATTGCAATTTGATTATTGGCAGTGTTTTGTTGTTTGTGCTGTTTTTTTTTTTTCAAATTTTGTGAAAAAAAAACATTGGATCACCCTTTGAAAGGATAATAATGACAATATGAGAACATTAACAATGGTTATTACTTTAAAAAAGAGACAGACGTATTACGAGAACCCAGCGAAGACTCTAAATACACCATTTAGTGTTCCATTTCGCAAGTGACAAACACTAGCTATCTCTTTCTTTAAGTATTAATTATGCTTTAAATTGCTTTATGTGTATAAGATAAATAAAAAAAGTGCGTATTTTGCTCTTATGTACTGAAAACTTTGTCGTGTGAAGCTGTATCAAATCGTTGTCTATGGATGACATTTGTTTTTTAATTTCCTCATTATATAGCAATTGTAATAACATCTTATATTACTTAAAATTAACGTCGGTTTCCACTACTAAATCATGTAAAAAACAAATTGTATAAAAAATGTTTTAACATTCCGCAGTGGAAGCCAACTGTAATGTACTTATACAAAGTTTTATAAAAACTAATTGTAGCTAATAATATAAAACTTGCCGAACTACATTATATAATCTACATTTTTTAATTAATCTAAGGGCAAATTTAGGTACTTTTAAAGGCAGATTTGTATTGGCAAATATTTTTAAAGGTATTTTTAGAAGATAAATCTTACAAAGACAAATTTAATACTCTAGGTCTTAACATTTTACGGATTTTCTATTTAACTGTGGTCTTAACATTTGGTACAAAAATTATTTTGCCCGGCACGTTATTCCATATTCTGCCATAGGCTTTTTCTTAATTTATGTGTCTCTAAGTGAAGTATTTTAAGTACTTATGAAATATAAATAAATAAATTGTGATAAGGCGACTTACTTAAAGGTACGGGGGATTTTATTTAGTTTTTCTAATTCAATAAAAATAAATATTACAAAAACAGTGCCGTAAAAATGTTTGTATAACATAAAGTCATAAAGAATTTTTTAAGCTGCAATACTAATCAACTGACATCAAATATGTAATAAATAAAATGTAGGAACTAAATCTAATACTTTTTATGATAAAATAATTTAATAATCGTAGCAAATTTTCTGCATTGTGTTTACATTTTTACTTACATCTAAATATATTGAAACATGAGCAAACACAAGAAAAAACATAACATGAGACAAAAAAAAAGTAGAATATATATAGATTTGAATATCGAGGATACATAAATATAACAATTCATTAATTAATACATAAAAAAATACGGGAGATTAAAAAATAATACAGTAGAACCTCGATAACTTAAAAAAAGTAATATGTCCCTTTCCATCAGCGCCCAAAACCTCTACAACATAGACCCTTGATAACTTAAAACCTCTATAACTGAAAATATTTTGTGTTTCCCTTGGACTTTAACTTATCGAGGTTCTACTGTAATAAATTTTTATATTCATTAAGCTGTTAGCTCGACCGAGGAAATTAATTTCCTAACCATCAGTGATTTCACACTATTTAATTCCTTTCTCTGATGTCTTTTATGATTAAATTAACAAAGATGGAATGTATTCTGTTACATAATATAAGACACGTGAATATGGTTTTCTTTAATATATTTGTTGGTGAAAATATTTGAATGAAATTGGAATAGTTATTTTGAGTGTACATTAATACTGTTCTGAAAAGTGATTTCTTGTGGACTTCTAGTATAAACTGTTGCATAATTAAAAATGATGTATGATTTTAATATAAGAATGTTTAAATGATAAGGAATTTTATGAGGTTTTTTTTTCACAATCCAATCCTATATTATAGCTACCAACATAATTTCAAATTCATAAATAATTCTTCAAACGCTACAAGTCATTACGTTAAACTTGTACAAGTCGTGTACTTATGTTAGATCTATTCACAGACAATTTGAATAGAATATTGAATAGAGATTTTAACGCAAACAAAATTGAACTTTAAACAATTGACACGAGGTTTAATTTTGTTTTTTACGCTTGAAAAAACTTCAAAGTAAAATTAGACCTTGTTACAATCCAATAAAATTTAATTTGATAAAAGTTGCTTTACTACGGATAGCAAATTAGATGAAATTAAATATCATTACTAAAATGAGTGTTTGGTATTCTAACAATTGTATCTCTTGTTACCTTATCTCCATCTATGAGTGAGCCAGAGCTATGTTTCTTTGATTTAGGCGCTAAAGGTGGGACTTCACTGCATGTTGATCGGTTATCATCCATTACTTTGGTACTAGAACTGGCTGCACTGAATTTCTTTAAGCTCCCAGTTGCTAAAGAACCGTTTGATGAGGAACAATGTGGTGGTAAAAGAGGTGCCCGTTCTTGTTGATCCTTTGTGGATGTAGTTGGTCTGTGGCTACAAGAACTTCCTTCCAATGGAATATTCTCTGGACAACCACCAACTTGTATCCATTCTTGTAATCTGAAAAGAGAAACATTTCATTACACGCTTGACGTAGTGGAAATAAACTTTAATGGAAAGCAAATAAACTGTTGCACTACACATAGAAATTAATGCTTAACGCGACCAACCGTCACATACCAGCGAGTAATGATATAGTATTAACTGCTAAGAAGCAATTACTGCATTTCTTTAACAAAAACATAATTTTTACAGGGGTAAGTAAATTCAAATAAAATTGCCATGCGAGAAAGAGACAAAAAATAGGCGTCGACAATCATTTTGGTGTTCTTGCTGCTAGTTTGGGCCCTTCAATTATATAAATACTAGATTGTATCTGCGACTCCCTCCGCGTTGATTTAAAAAAAATGCAAGTATCCTATGTGTTTTTTCCACTATGTTCTACTTCTATGCCAAATTATATTCTATAACAAACATCCATCCATCCATGAAAAACTTTCGCATTTATAATATAAGTATGATAAAAAAGGCATACTGATTTATTACCTGTTGACAACATCTTCGAAATTGGGTCTACGTTGTGGCGTGTGCTTCCAACACTCGCGCATTAGTGCGTACATCTGCGGCGGGCAGTTGGTCGGCGCGGCGAGCAGCTCTCCGCCGCGGACCATAGATATCACCTCTTGATTGCTATACCTAATGAAGAAAAGCATTTATAATCGCCAGTTATCACCCATTACAAAAACTAATTGTAATCTATATCTTTCTCTTACAAAGAGAGACAACAGAGGTAGAGCCTGCTTTAACATCTTCGCAATACGTCGGCACGCTCGGTACAATACTATGACCACACAGAAGACAAATGTTTAGTGGAAGCCATTCCGCGTTATATCTAACGAGTGTGTTTGCTGAAGGTCAAAATTCAGTCCTCCTCTTCTTCCCATCAACCACCTCCTACCATTTCGTAAAAGAAAAGGATGGGAAATTTGAATGGGGGATGGGACACGGAAGCATGGACTTTCTGTGCGTTCGTTTTGTGATTTTATTTGCTGGTTCACGTCTATAGGCAATGGTCGCCTTTACATTAGCTTATATAATAAAAACTATATATTCTACTTACCCATAATATGGTTGGAGACCATAACTGTATATCTCCCATAACACTACTCCGTAAGACCATATATCACTTTCTGTTGTAAATTTACCATACAATATTGACTCTGGTGGCATCCATCTAACTGGCAAGAGACTTTTAGATTGCACCTAAAAAACAAATAATAAACATTAATATTTGGAAACAAAGGATTTATGTGACATTAATCATCAAAACTGATTCATGCTTTAAAAAATGGTACTTATAGATTAAAAAGATAAAAACAAAATACTCACTCTGTAATAATCTGAACTATAAATATCTCTTGAAAGGCCGAAATCTGATATTTTTACTATAAAATCATCTGATACCAAACAATTCCTAGCAGCTAAATCCCTATGGACATAGTGATGTGAGGCAAGATATTGCATACCAGATGCAATATTAAATGCAATATTTAACAATCTCATAGGTGGTAAGCCTTTTCCGGAAGGAGGAGCTCTGCCCATGAGAAATTCATGAAGATCTCCTCGAGCCATAAACTCAAACAACATACATAATGGTTCTTCTCTAAGCGCTACACCAACTATACATACAATGTTCTCATGGCTGAGCTCTGAAATCAAATCAATTTCACGTCTAAAATCCGCCTGTGTCTTCGCTGATGCATTTTCCTTTAAAGCCTTCACAGCGACATATTGCGTCTCTCCATTATTCTTTAAAGCTCCTTTATATACTTTACCAAACGCTCCTTCACCAAGTTCTTCCAAAAATTTAATTTGTGATAGTGAATATTGAGGTACACGAAGGACGCCGTTGCCCCTCGCACTTCTCACAGTCAAATGTGGCTGATTGTTTAAATTTTGATTCGTCAATAGTTCATTCATTTCAATTGGAGAGTTTAATCTTGAATTACCGTAAATATTCTTATCTGCATTTGGTAGATTTATGTCTCTGATAGTTGCTGCATTACCTTTACTTTTATGTCTATAACAGAGACAGGTGACTAATCCAGCAATAATTAAAGTTACAAGTAAAAATATAATCAAAATATATATCCATATTTTATGTGCACATTTAGGGATGTCACAGACTTGTATATCTGTTTTTCCATCTTTTTCAACAACACACCAAGGTTGAGTATTGAGTCCACCTGGATTTCTGCAATAACTATGCCTTCCTGTTAATTCAGGGTAATCTTTTAACTTGACACGGAGCTGCTTTGACCACTCTACACAAGGCATTCCATTACTGGCTACATTTACTCTCCCTAAGTACCCACTGCCATCTTCCCAATAGCATTCATCATCTGACACCATCATAGTGCCTATGTCAATTTTCAAGCAATCAGGGTCATCTTCTGGCAAGTCCTGACACTCTTCCAGTGTCAATTGTTGACCTATATGAGGATGTCTTTTAGCTATAGCATATTCAGTTTGACACAACTCATTTTCTAATATTTCACAATGTTGTTTACAAACTCTTCTTAGTACTGTTGAATTATAACGGTAATTGAAGATATTAGATGTTGAATTCTTACTAGATTTTGCATTCAGTGCAAAATCTTTTGGTAAATTCTCAAATAATATTTCTGGCAAATCATCTATATGATCATTTGGTAGGTTTGTCAATTTTCTTGCCTCTTTATAGAAATTTTTATTAATAGTTTCAGGGTCCCTACAGATTGGAAATGTTGAGTAACAGAGACTTGGCACTGCATAACCTTCACAATGTGAACTAATGTCTTTTGAAAACTGTGTAACTTTTATAGCTTTGGATAGTTTGTCTTCTAAGATTGCCTGAGTTGTGTCATAAGGGATGTACACAAACTTGTCTTTGAGATGAGCGCTGCATTCATGCCCAACATAAATTTGACACAAAGGTTCAAGTTTGCGAGGAACAGATAAATTTTGAGGTTTTAAGCTGCTATCAACAGTCATATCTTCAAACTTCAGTTCTGGAGTAGTTTTAATATTGACTTCAATTTCATCACTTACCCCAATATTGGAAAACAAAGGTGTATAAGTAGGCAGTTCATAGTTTTCGACATCTGCCACTTTCTTCTTGATTTCCAATTTTGTAGTTAATTTTTTCTCATGATTTTGTTTTATAACACAGGAATAGTTGCCTTCATCATTAAAATCTATATTTTTCAATTTAATACTTGTTCCTATTGTGCCATTTGTTTTATCTATTACAGTAGAGATATTAATCCTTTCGTTTTTTGAGAGCATTCTGTTATCTTTGAGCCAATAGGCTTTTAAATTTTTCATAAGTCTTTGTTGTATGTAATCAGGAGGGGCTTCTTTTAACGATGTCTCGATACCTTCCTTGTATTTGGTGAAAGTCTCCACTTTAGTGAAATTCATTATAGCTTCGCACCTGAGTCGGACGTCGGAACCTGATGGTCTTCGTATGATCGAAGGAAGTGTTTTTGTAAAATAAATATTAAGATTGATATTCCATCCTTTTCGCTCCGGCGTTGAGTTTCCCTTTATGATTGATACCGAATCTGTTTTATCGGTATTCAAAGTATAACTTTCACGTAAAAAGCAGAAAGCAATAATCGCACAAAAGATATACATGACTGATGTTTTCCATAACACTTATTTTCGAAGCTTTCTCTCTATGTATGAATCACATGATCACTATATAATTTATGATTGGAAATAATAAAACTGTAGAATAGTATTTAAGAAATCGTGTGCTTAGATTTAATTGTTATTTGAATTTAATTTAATTAAAAGCCCGAGTAATGCGATACTCTTCCAACAAAATCTTACAGCAGTCGACCAAAGACTATAGACGACATGACAGAAGCGGCGGAAGCGACCTAAAATAAATCAGCAGGAGCACAGAGTACCTAGCACTGACATGGACGGCTATAAATCGTGATGTTTGGTGCTAATTTGGTTTTTCGATTTTGGCGCTGATTGTTGCTATTGGTAGAGATGACGAGGAGTCAAACTAATAAAAGAGATAAAATTAACCGTCAGTAACGTCATTTTTAATTCTAAACAAAGCAAAAGCTGTAATTTCTAATCAACCACCTATTCATTTATTTCAATAAATAGATTTGTCTATATCAGTGGTACTTAAAACTCAAACTCCTTAGTGATATT